AAACTCTTTGCCCCATATACTTTTTGTTTTCAATTGTTTAAAGAAATTTTAAAAACCTACTTCAGAGTTATTTGTGTGACTCAAATGAAAGACTGTGTGGGAAATGCACTTTGTGAACTGTGGAATATAATTATAAGCCTCTCAAACTTGGATCTGCCCTTGGATAAAAGTAAATCATCCAGGGCCGGGGATTTAGCTCAGTGGTTCCACCGCCTGCCTTGCAAGCGCAAGGTCCCGAGTTTGATCCCTGGTACCAAAAAAAGTAAATCATCCAAAATCTGAGATCTCATTGATAGATCTGTATTTCAAACACACACACATACACACACACACACACACACACACACACACACACACACTCTCCAAGCTGGTTCTCAAGGAATAGAAGAGATGGTTTCGAGATTAATTTCACTGTCCTGACCAAATACATGAATGTAAAATCTTATTTACACTGAAGTTTATATGAGCAATCTCTAGTCATCAAGTTGTAGTTCTGTTCACAGTGGAACAAAGACTCATCCAGAAATACTCAACTGCTATGCTCTAAGGCAGTGGTGGTGAACCTATGGCACGTGTGCTGCAGCAGGCTGTTTGTATCATTGAAAGTTCTAAAAGCCATCACTGCTCTAAAGCAACAGACTGTACATAACTTCAAGCCAGGAAACATGGTAAAATAGTCTTGCAAAGCATATTGTAGAACATTCTACTTACTCACTTAATGTGCAAAAAATATTTATTTCCTGGAAAGGTGAATTGGCTCAAACTATATATGCATTCATAGCCTTGGATTAATGTGCCACTATACATTTGATATGTTTTATAAGTTGGGAAGTATGCAGTACATACCTATTAGAATGGCTAACATCTTTGAAACTGCAATTTAAAAATATCAACCATGCAAAATACTGATGAGGATACGGGGGGCAACTATAGCCCTCATATGCTGCAGTAAGTGCTACATAGTATAATGACTCTGGAAGACAGTTTGGCAATTTCTTATGAAGTTAAATATACACTTACCACATGGCCCAACAATTCTGCTAACCTTCCAAATACTCAAGAGAAACACATGTATTCATAAAAAGATCTATATGTATTTACAGAAGCTTTATTTATAATAACTCAGAACTGGAAACAATCCAAGTGTCCATCACCATATCCAAACAAAGCACTGCCCAGCAATAAAAAGGTACCAACCAAGGTCGCATGGCTAAACATCAAAAGCATGTAACTGGGTGAAATAAAAATAAAAGGCCACACATAGGAGTCCATTTGTATGGCACCCTGGCAAAGGTTAAATGAAAAAAAAAGTGAGAAAACAAATCAAACAATGGATGCCAGGTCTGGAAACTGGGGGATGTCCTGCAAAAAGGCATCAAGAGAGCCTGGAATGAGCCAAGCAGCCCATAGAACTTGCATACCTCAACTTTCTTAGCTCCTGCTCAGACTTGTTAAATTTTGTTGCTTCCCCACGAAAACTGCTGGAGCAGAGACAGTCTTGGGTTTAAATTTCAGCTTCCCAATTTTCTAGCTAAAGTAACTTTAAGCAAGTTACTTAATCTCTGTATTGGAAAAACAAACCACAAAGTCAGTTTCTCCTCTGATAGGTGTGCGGGTGGTTTTTTTCCCCACTAGAAAGCAAGCAATTAAACTTGCAGCAGTGGATAGCATCTGGGTGTCTTCTAATTTGATTTAGTCCTGACAGTACCTGGAGACAGCATTAGGTTCCACAAGTTAGGGGTTCAGTCCCCAAGACTGTCTTTGCTTAAATGGCTCACAGAATGAACATACACACACACACACACACACACACACAATATCACACTAAGCATCATTTTCCTTCATACACTTCACCTAAGTGTTGAAGGGTGTTCAGGGACTGGGATCAGTGGAAACCCTATCACCTGGCTGACCACCTTCTCTCCTAAAAGGAGATAAATAATGTCCATAAACCACCAACTGGCCTTCAACTAAATCCCTAAACTCATTACAGCTTGCTGACATCCAGGCTCTGGAGCACAACTCTAAAAACAAGATGCATTGTGTGCAAGGACCTCTAAGGAGAGCTCTACACTCAATCCTACTTAGCCCTGTGATTCCCCATGCCCCAGGACTCTCAGCTCCAACTGAGTCAGCTGTCTTTCTAGTTTACCATTTGTAAATGGCTGATGCGAATGGACCTGAGACCTCCCTTCACAGGTTCTTAATTCTGTAATCTATTGATTTTCTATTTCCCAGGCCCCTCTGTATACGTTTAACTTACCAACTGAACACAGGAATTCTGCCTAGCACACAATTAAAAATTTGTTGAGAGTTCGATCCCCGGTAACCCCCCAAATTTGTTGATATAATGATATAATGATTATACTGAGAACCTGAAAAGCTTGATGTAGGAGGAATAAGGACTTATAAGACTTATGAGCACTTTGAAAAACATACAGAATAGGTTTCCGACAGACATTATTTTATCCAATGATTTGGGGATATCTGTCATAGAATTACACCCCATCCAACCTCCATCCTCAAGATGGAATACAAAGGAGCCACCACAGGTAAGGGCACAAAAATGAATGACCAAGAGGAGGGCCGGGGATTTAGCTCAGTGGTTCCGCTGCCTGCAAGTGCAAGGTCCCGAGTTCGATCCCCAGTGCCAAAAAAAAAAAATCAATCACCAAGTGGAGACAAGGAAAATGTGGAGGTAATTCATGTATGCTACCAAAAGTTGGCTCCAAATTTTAGTGCTTTATTCCACTGGTAAGTACAGCTGCAGTTCTCTTTATCCTCACACATTTATCCTAAGACTTCTAGAGAACACGTTTATAATTTTAGATATTTAAACTGAGGCAATTCTGTGATGTCACTCCTAGAAAATGTCAAAGGAAAAAAAAATAGCACGTCTCTTTAAGTTTACTTTCTTACTGCCAGGATTCTTCAATCTATTTTCTTCAGTGATTGCAAAGGAATTTCTTTCAAAGTACTGAACATAGTTCTTCAGAAAAGTTACATTTTAAATGTTTTTCAGAAATTTCATTTAATTGCTGTTGTCAATTTGTTTTTCAGTTTCCAATTCTTGGCATAGCCTGCTTACTCTGATTTCTAAGTAAATATGCGTATATGTGGAATAATTTTATTATTAAGGCAATGAAGATAAATGGTAAGAACAAATTCAGGCAGGGGAAAAGGCAAACATTTTTTCTGAATACACCAAAAGTAGTGTATGTGCTCTACGCAGGATTAACTTCTGTTTTACAAGCTTTGATAAATGAACAAGGCTAGAGAGCTTGATCTGTTATTTCTACATATGGTAGTTCTTTTGCTTCTGCCTGTAAAACAAAATTCCAAAGATAATTTTTTTTAAAAATCATAAAAGCTTTCTCTAACTTTGTGCATAAAAGTCACTCTTCACATATGGATTTGAAGGTACCACTCCGACTGAGTTTGATGTGACCAAACACAAGTCACAGCAATCACAGTATGTATGTCCTCCTTGATGCACGTGCATCAAGAAAGCCCAATTTTCTTGGGCAGTCACTGAAGCCCTGAGGATGACTCGATGGTCTTAGATTTCTTTTCTATGTTATGTTTTCACTTTCCTCTCCATCCTGTTATATCAAAGAGCCTAACAATGTACTTCCTTTACAGTGATCTTCCTGTAATATTTTTCCTTCATGATGTATCTGCAATGTGCCTCAGCTGAAGTTGCCTTAAGCAGACATTCATAATTTGTTCCCCAACCCCATTCCACCCTACCCAGTCTGTCTTTTTCCAATTACATTTCTGGAAAACTTTCAACCTCCTGCTAATTTCCATGTAGACTACTAATAATGACCAGTGGAGTACATCTTCGGTTCCTGTTTTTTACATGATAATGAAACTCATGCTCTTTGGTTGTTGGCCACACTCCAGGTTGAAAAAGCCCTATCCTAAAGCTGGTCACCTCTCATTCCTTTTGATCTATTTGGGATTAGCTTTTTCTATTATTTTCATTCATCCTCCTCTCCCCTTTTGGATGTCTGTAAGAATTTTGGTTTTTCAGCTTTTGGCCCAAATTTCAGTTGAAAGAATCATTTATATCACCAATTTAAACAGTATTCAGACTGTGGATTCTGCTTTTTTTGCTTTCTAACTCCTCTTTTATATTCAAACAATTAACAATCTTGAAGTTCCTATCCTGATTTTCATTCACCTTTACACCCAGTTCTTCCTGGATTCTCTTAGGTGCTGAAAATTCTTTGTCCAGACTAGGAATTCTGTTACTTGCTTCCTCGCACAGATATTTTCTGGCCAGCCACCGTGCACCAGAGGGGCCGCCCTTGGGAAGCTTAACCTCTAGTGTAGGATACCAGGCTGATACACATGAAGTGGGTGGTAGTGTGGCTCCTAGCCCATAGCCCTCAGGTATTAGCTCAATGCTTAGAAATACATAACACATGGTAGGGTATTTTTAAAAAATTACCATCTGGCTGAATGTTTATACTATCTTTAATGAAAACATGTAAAACTGTATTTGGAAGAGATCTGAATTATACATTAAAGAAACCTGACAAACACAATGCTTATCCCTAGATATAAAATAGTAATCAAGACCATTATTGTTTCAAATGGGGAGATTTTTAAATCTAAACTATTATATATAATTATATCAAAGTAACATTTCTTGAGGGTGATCATTGCTGTATGGTTACAGCAAAAAAAATATTTTACTCCAAAAGTCAGATATAATATGTATATAGTTTACAGGTAATAATTAAGAAGAAAATGTTTATTTACAGAGAATTCTTCTCTCTTCTCTCACCATGGGGCAGGAAATGTGGCAAAACATTAAAATCAAAGTGACAGGTACACAGATGTTCGCTATGTTATTCTTGCTTTTTTCCCCCTATAGTTATAGACATTTTCAGTAGAAGTTGCAAAAAATAGAAAAGGATGAAAACCAAAAACTTTAAAACTACCCTAAATGGTTTTTGAAGAAAAACAAAAGAGAAAAATTCACAAACCAATTCTGAAATCAAACACAAATACTTTTTTATTTATGGGATATCATTTTACACCAATTCCATTAAAAACTAAAACCAATATGCTGTACTCATTAGGTGGCGTTAACAGTATTTTAGTTAAGCTGGGAGTCACAGGACTTGCACACTTTTATGAATGTAATGCAAATACTGACGACATGAAGCATTCACAGTTATAGGTTAGTTGCTGTTCATTTAACAGTAACCCCCAATAAAAATTATTTTATGAAAAAAAAAGCAACCCACATTTCGGTCTCATTTACAGATACCCAACATTTTAGTTGGTCAATGAATTCTATACACTTATTATACAACTTATGAAAGAATAAAGGATAAGGCTTACAGAGGTATTTTAGCAGTTGTAAGAATAAAAACTGAGGGCACAAACTAACTTTTAAAGCCTTCTGTATAAATTTCAAAAGCACTGTCAGAATGGGGACCGAGAGGCAAAAGAAATCTGTTGTTAAACCAGGATCTAGAAGTCTGTTTTGTTAGATTTATAAAAACTTAATTCAAAGTTCATGCTTCAAAAAAGGGGCATATAACATTACAGTGTTTATGGCAAATCAAACAATGAAATTTCTGACCTAAAAAGTTGCACTCCCTAACAACAGAGCATTGCAAAATAGACTTCAAAGCACAAGGCAAGAAAGAAAGGATGTAGACTCGGGTACTAAAGAAAAACCAGAAGAAGGCACCCTAATTTATTAGACATTAGCTCACACAAATAAGTGCTTGATGAATTGTTCAGTACTGTGTAACTTAGGCAAATTTTCAGAAAAAGTGTCTTATTACTTTCTCTTAAAAATACATAAAATGAAGAAACCAAGTGTAAGCACACAGCGACCAGCACTTACAGAGGCTTATTTTTCCGGGTAGTTTAGATTTATTTTCTAAATATTCAAGATTATCCCACTGAAATACTTTCATATCATGTATCATAAAGTTGGTTTTACTTGGGTTTTCTCTTATCAAAATGTTCACTGTGGATGAAATGTACCATTTCCCCCTTATTACAATCCTTTTATTTTAGGATTAACTGTGCTTAGTATTTAAAAATTCTCCAGAGTCTAACATTTAAAAGAAATTTCATCTATGATTTATATTTGCTTTCAGGAAAACAGAAGTTATCAAATTTAAGACCTGTTACCTTTAAAGTGTGATTTTTAAACATTTCACTGGGGTATATCTGAAAATAATTCAACTCTCCATAGATCCAAACCTGCCAATGGCCAATCCCCATTATGATAACATGAATCAGACCGCCTTTTGACATGACAGTCTCAATAGCTGCTGTATTCTACTGACATTTCCTTTTCAGATATTAATTTATGCAAACTGATATAAACTTCTAAGGTTAAAAGTGAGACTAAAAACAAGGAATGGTTAAGTATGCTTAATCACTAATGTTTTTAAAACTTCTGGTTTATTTCACAGCAAACCAAACCTTATTGTTCAGAAGAAAAAGGAAATAGCTGCATTCTACCATATCGTGATTTTGTATATGGACACACACTATATACACAAAATTTCTGTCTTTGGTGGTTCAGGTAGGGAAAAAATAATATGAAAATCAGAACACCATTTGCAAAAAAAACTGTAAAGCAATGGTCAAGAGTAGCATTGTCTGTGTGCTTTACTCATTTAACATCATTTAAAGGTTCACATTTAATCTAAAAAACTTTTTGGCCAATACTCCAAATCATTACATGCTCAAGCATGGATATTGCTCACAATCACAGCAATCACTTACTCAAATGCATCTTGGCGCTTTACTTGGTTAAATCATTAGACCATTATATGTTCACAAAACTTTAGGGACCAGGTTAGTCATTCAATAGCACCAGATAGGTGGGGTGAAAATGTACTCTACACATTTTCTCAAGGCCAAAAAAAAAAAAAAAAGACATAAAATACAAATCTAAACATACCATCCTTGTTTCCTCATACACATAAATAATGGCTATCACTCTTCTGTACAAATGATTCAGGTAATGACAAGTGGCCCCTCCAGGAAAAGGTCCTAGAGTGTGAGAAGGGTTAGCTCAATGCTGGTGGTTTCGTGTCCACTGCCTGCAATGAACACGTTGCCAGGAAAAGCCTAGCATGAAATAAACAAGGAAAACAAAACAAAACACTTCTCACTTACAGTTTCTTTTCCATAAAACTAGGAAATTAGACATCATGAAATCTAACTGAAAAAAATTCAAACTAAAAGTGCTCTGCAGTTATAAATTGCCAGGAAGCCAGTAGATTTTCATGGAGGCAGTAAAATAAACTTTACTCAGCATGGCATAAAGAGCATCAGCAGACCAAACGCTGGAGGAATGTGAAAGGGCAAAAAAGAGAAAAGAAAGTTTATTTGAATTTAAACTCCAATTTTTTAAAAAGGTGCAATTCCAATTTGTTCATTTGTACTTATATTCAAGCTACTACAGTTTTAACATTAAAAACAAAAAACTATCTTGCATGGTGAAAGTCATTTGTGGCATGTTACCTGTCTACATGATCAATAATTACAACTTTCATCATTTTAAAACACTAATATTATTAAGTAAAACAAATGATATTTGGCATGAGCCATTGAAAAGTTATCACTCCTACCTCCTCTTCCAGAAATTGGCCTCTTAAATAGTAAGGTTAATTCTGGCAACATTCGGTTATGGTTATGGTAACAGTTGTTTTGTCTTGTTTTCTGAAATGCTACATTTGAGATCAAATAAAATATAACTGGTTCATTTGAAAAAAGGGACTAGAAATATGCCACAAAATTATTTTTACAATACATTTTTGCAGAAATAATCTCTAGGTGAAGCTTTTTATACACATATACAAAATTTAAACAGCAATATACACATAATCACAGTGAGGACATTGGCAAATTCACCAATCTGTAGTGAAAATACAAACTGGAAAGCAGCCTTCCAAGAGAACAATGCTACACAGCAAGCAGAGCTGGCCCATTCAACAGCAAACACCAAAACATCCCTGCAAAAGGGAGACAGTGCAAGAAAAGCAGCATGCGCTTTGATACAAACAGCAATTTATGGCTAATGGGTGACATAACTGTGGTAACAGTGACTCTCGTGCTGCTATGCATATAGTCCTAGGACATCTGTTTGTCTTTATACCACTCCACAAACTCATCCAACAAGACTGGCCCTGGAGAGAGAAAAAACAAGGCTGCTCTCAGGCTTTTTCCAGGGAGGAAGTGAATGTGCAAGGGTGGGGGAGAGAGGAACCAGTCTCACCCAGTACTTACATGCTCCATCTTCATCATAGTTGCTGAGGTCAAGGTTAATTGTTCTGCTGAATTCAAGTACATTGCACCACTGGTCTTTGTTAATCACTTTATATTTTGATTGCTGGCAGAGGGGAAAGGAATATGAATTACACATAAAATGAACAAATGGGATGGCTTCTTATATGAACCAACTTTAAATAGTTAATGTAGGAGTTAACTCTTTACATTTCAGCACCACTCTAGAAGGATGGTGAGGGAGCAAGAGTAGAATTTAAGATGATAACTTTCATTACAAAAATATTATTGGGGCTCCAATCCAAGATGGCAAGCACATCAAAGAAACCTAAGAAATATCTCTAGAAGTGAAACAGCTACAGCCCTTTTAAATAAAATGGGATATTATCTATTTCCTAGCAATGCTTCCAGGACTGAGATTCCTTATGTCATGTAAAGCATTTCATCAACTACTTGCCAAAACAAAGAGTAGCTCACATTAGCAGTCCTGACATGATTGGCACTGCTCACTGCCAAGCTGTTGGCTTGAAGCACATGCAGCAGTGGGTCACTATCACAGTGATGGCAAATCTTTTAGAGCTTTCAATGATACAGCCCGCTGTGGCACATGTATCATAGGTTCACCATTACTGCTCTATGAGAACCTACATGAGTGCTACAAGTGGCCTCAGAGCTAGGTACTCTTGCCACTGAAGAAAATTACTGTTCTAACAATTCAAAACCTGAATGTGATCATGAAACTAGACTAGCCATGAAATAGTTTCTCTACTCCTCAGACAAGGAATATGTGACAAGTATATTTTAAAATATAGTAACCCTATATAAAGATTTTAAGATAAAATCTAGAACTAACCATTTTAAATCCCCATCACATCAACTTAGGAACATAGTAAAATAATACAAATTAAAAAAAAAAAAAGAAAGAAAAGAGAGGCCAATGGTTTTGAGGTTGCAAACACTAGAAGCGCTAAAATAAAAGGATTAATGTCTCCTTTTAAAAGAAAAATGTGAACTAATATAAGAACAAATTGCAATTGCACTCTTCGAGTTTAACTTTCTGATCAACTAAAATTGAAAAACAGTCTTGAAACAGCTGATGATATTCCCGGAGTTGTGCAGTCAAATTTCCTCACAGCCAGGTTGTTCAGCTGAAGGACTTTCACACTCAGGCTCAAATCTTGCTAAACTCTGAGAGCAAGAACCTATTTCTGCTTCTGTCTCAAACAGTGCTAGCTTATCTCATGGGGTTGTCAGAGAAGCTAGAACAGACCGTATGGAGAATGGACCATTATGTAAACAAACACTTCTACGATTAAAACAAATTTTTATAACTTTCTTCAGGAGTTCTAGTTAGTAATATTAAAAGCAGTTTTTTATTTTCTTTTTTTTGGTACCAGGGATCAAACTCAGGACCTTCTGCTTTCAAGGCAGGTAGCGGCACCACTGAGCTAAATCCCTGGCCCCTAAAAGCAGTTTTTAGTAACAGCCCTCTAAGAATTGTAATAGTTAAGTTTTTCTGAGCTACTGCATGTAATAAGTTGTAAGAAAGATTATTTCAAGAGGGAAGTTAAGGTCTAGCATCTTCTCACAGACTCACCATCATTTTTGCAAGCAAAGGGTGTTTTTAAAAAGGGCTTAGGGAAGGGGGGCAAGAAGGATGCCTTATGTGACAATTCAAGGCACTAAACACACAAGTCAAGTACTTCCAGGTCATACAGTAGGAAATTTCAACTGAGCCAGCCCCTTAGAACCAGCAGCTCAAAATTTTTGATCATCAATATGCAAAGCAAATGATGGAATAAAGAGCTGGGTTGTTTCTAACATGGGTTGTTTATATTTTCTTCAGAAAATATAAACTCGAGACATTGTCAGTTTACCTAATATAGTACTTACACTGCTCTAAATTCCCCAAGTTACTTGGAGATAAGAGTAGATAAGAATAGATTACAAATTAATTTTACTAAGAAGGAAGATGGTTGTTCTTTAAACTGTTCTTAATAAAACTGGAAGTTCATCTAAAGTTGTAAAGAAAGTAAACTTTAGTTTTTCTGTTATAAAGAATGGGAAATCTAAACAGCAGTGAGGCTTTTAAAATGGGGCCAAGAAAGTAGAGGGAGAGTTGAGGCTGTTTCTAATGCACTCCAACATGGGATGACGCACACGGTGCAACACGCACACACAGATGCACTCCAAGAAAATGAGTAGCTGCTGGCTGACAGCAACTATGGCACCATAGTTCGTATGAGCAGAAAAGTACAACAAACAAAAAATTACATAAAATGGTTAAATAAAGTATATTTGGTAGTTCTAAGCAAGCAAACATACATTTCATAAAATAACATTTGGTACCTCTAAGAATTGGTGAAAAACTGGAAAAAGGGGCCAGATTTTTCCTAATAATAGTCCCAACATGCACTTGGCAGTGTTTATGTCTAGGCTGCGCTGGTCCTTTTCCTGTTTAACAAACAAAAACAAGGATAAGCCAGATGCTTCCAAATAATAAATTTCCATAATCCAAATTTGTATTTCACTTCATCAAGAAATTAGTCAACAGCTCATTTATCATACACCATTAAAAATCCTGAAGGGAGACTAAGGCAGGGGGAAGGAGACAGTCAAACCCAATGGAAGGCTTGATCATTTCAGTATTCCACAAATGTAAGGAAGATTCATGTCCATGTTCATCAAATGATCACCCTAATGAAAATCAATTGTGCAGTAGCAGTATCTAAATTATTTAATAGGCTAAACAAAAATCTGTAACTCAGTAACTTGCTTGTCATTTATAATAATTATTGAAATTGTAACTGGTTATCCTAAAGCCCACAATTTAACTAGATGGAGTTTAAAGGTTTCGCTTTCCACACTTAGGAATTAGTTTTCCTTGCTAAATATCATTTTTTTCCCAACAGTTTTACTTCATGGGGTATTTTTCTTATACCAAAACACACTGCCATTAAAGTTGGTTATAATAAATGCTGGGGCTCTGAAGATCTGCTCCCTGTCAGAGGATGTAGTCATTTATTTGCTCTAGGCAAAGTAGGATATTTATGTACACAATCCTTACCTTGGATTTCTTAGATATGACTCTTCTAGAATATCCCTAACTAGTAATCAAGAGAAAGATACTTCATAAGGAAACCAGAAGAGAGATAACATATAAAGGTAGATTAACTTCTTTCCACTTATATTTGCAATCAAAAATCCTAATTTCTCATTCTTTTTTGTAAGTTTCCATTCTAAATCTATAACTAGGTGGTTTCTGTGGAAATGGATAGAAGGCCTGGGACTTCAGGAAGTGACATTACACAGCTAAAGCTAGCCTCCATGTGGTATCTTAAATATAGTATAAATCTGCAAAAATACTCTACGACAAAAGTACTCTACTTCCCATTGGAGTGGAATCTACATATTCACCAAATTAAAGAATGATGCTATGATATAACCCTTGTCAGCCATATAAACAGCCACACATACCTTCTGATTCTAGGTGAAGTGCTCTTTAGTACACTGCAAGTTTCTACCCATGACCCTAATTTTAAAAGTGTAGGAATTAACACAGCAAAAGTAAAGGCCTCACCTAACAAGAGCAAACAAGGGAGATGAAGATACAGCAACTTGGTGCTTAAAGAAGATTCTCAAAAGGTCTGTCTTTTGGACTCAGTCATAAAATATAATGTCTGTTCACAATAGACCAGGTCAAATGGCACCATGACGTCCTTCTGTTTGAGACCATAAAAATGTAAGTCTGATGATGGTGGGAGCATCCCAATCACACAATTCTATGCAAAGAAGTGGGGTTTCCTTCCCACAGCACACTCTCCTGTCCCTGGGCCATGAGATGGTCCTGGTAGGGTTGCAGCACTCGCTCCTAAAGGAGAAGAGGACAGCAGAAGAGGTAACCTAAAGACTGCCTGCCTTTTGCCAACCAAACCTCATTGGTTTGTTGCATTTCAAGTGCTTATGCTTCAGCAATGCACTGTGCAAGCCAATGGAAAACATCCTGAGCCCATAACACAGGTGTGGCAGACAGCAACAGCACACCAAACCATGAAGCAATCCACAGGAAATATGAGCAAATTGTTGAGAAACACGTAGCACCACAGGACCAGGCCAAAGTCCATTTGTCGCACAAAAGCTCATGCACCACTGGCTGACAACACTGGCACTCTAAGAAGTTTCCCCTTGCAGAGTAATCATTCACTAACCCCCAAATCTCTAGTCTGGCTTTGACATGTATTACACCTTCTTCCATCATTCATCATCAATGCCTATGCCCCCATCACAATGGACATACACTAAGGTGACAGAAAAAAAAGATACAAAGGACCTGGACAGACTCTTTATAACAATATAATCATCTGACAAACTGATGATCACGAAGAATTTCAATGTGTGTGTTTGGCAGTGATGCCAAAACATGAAAGAAAGGCATCAGACTCACAGGGCCGGAGAGCTGAACAGCACTCACTCACTCCTGCTCTGCAGGGTGCAGCCAGCAGCTTGCAATCACTAACACCATCTTCTGCCTAGCAAATAAGAGAGAGATATTATGGAGGCACTCACAGTCTGAACGGTGGCATCTCGCTGACAACCAACATGTCTCTGCATGTCTTGTGGCTAAAGTGCAAATGACCATAACTGGAAACACTCAAGATTCCTGGAGCAACACAGTAGAGAGCCCACGGCAAATGCCTACTAAATATCAAAATGGAGACACCCTCAGGGGTTCTCTGTTGAACACAGTGATCCCTATGGGCATTTCCTGCAAAGGGGTTCCCAATTAAAAGTAAATGAATCTCCCAGGATGCTATCAGGCAGTCATCAACATTATGGGCAGTTAAGAAAAAAAAAAAGATCATGCTAACAAATTCAAGGAGTACAGCAAAGACGTCCAAAAGCTCTTTGCAAGAAAATAAAATAGCACACTATCAACACCAATCCTGTGTCCCGCTCATGGAACACCAAAGAGCAAGGGGCAAACCAAGAGATTTCTGTATTCCAAGGTCAGACAGCTTGCCAAGAGTCAACCAGCATCCCTAGAAGCCCATCAGTTAAAGGAGAAGGAAATGGGAAACTTCCTCCCTACCCATCTCTTGACCCAATTATGTATACATAAGCATTTTCATGAGCTTTAATTTTCTAACATAAAAGGAAAACAATTTTATCTTATTTTTCAAATAATAACAGAAACTGGACAGGCTTGGATGTACCAACCCTCTACAAACACAACTGAACTCTCTACCTGGTCTTCCTTAAACAACACAGAATGGTATCAGGCTTCTAATAGCACAGCTGCAAAACCAAAAGGTCCTACTTGAAGTGTTCTAAAGTTATGTTTTAAATATGGAATAATATACTCCTCAAGCTGAAGACCAACAATAGCTAAAATACAGCAGAAAGAATAATGAAGCTTTACTAAGGTTTGATTTGAAGTTCTAATTTTTTTAAAATGTCTGTTTATTTAAGACTGTTCCAGTGTAGGCCCTCTGGTAAATTGAAAATTAAGCTTTTTTTTTCTTAAGTGGAACAGGGCCGGGGATTTAGCTCAGTGGTTCCGCCGCCTGCCTCACAAGCACAAGGTCCTGAGTTCGATCCCCAGTACCAAAAACAAAACAATGACACTCTTAAGTGGCACAAATGACTTATGATATAAAAACAAAATAGAGGGTTAATTATAAATATGGAAGTGTAAGTATATTACAAAAACGAATCTTTAAAGATTTAGATCTCCATCTCCTGTATCACAGGACACTAACTGTTCCAGACAATTTCCAATTTTCATTAAGTCCTCACATTTTGAGACATACACAAATAGAATCAGCTTGAATTATTACAGTTATAATATTAAAAACTTCAACAAAAAATGAGTTTTTCAAGAGAGACTAGTTGCACTTAAGAAATGGTATGTAAGTAATCATGATTCCAAATATAAATGGTGAAAACCAAGTTAGAAATTGGTACGTGAGATCAAAACACCAGGGTAAAGACTTAAGATATGTACCATGCAATCTCAAATGAGGTCACAAGAATTTCAAAAAACAGAAAATGCAATCTTTCTTAATACAGTTACCTAAGAAAACATGTGTAAGGTAAAAATAGAGGGCTCTGAAGAACTCAGATCTTAAGAACTCTGGAGATTCAGTTTATGAAACTGAAAATATAGCAAACCGGTTTTTTGAATGGGAGTTCTTTAAAAAAAACAAAATATATATATATATATATGAAAAGCAGAAAGTCATAAAACCCAAGAGTGTCTGCTCATTGGGAAAAAATGAATGCAAACTAATGTTGCCCTTTGAACTTAGCCAGAGGTTTACAAATAACAGTATTTTCAAGTTAATTAAACTCAACTTCTAACTTTTAGGACAGGCATTATTATTATCTCCAATCTATAAACAGGGAAACTGAAGCACAGGAAAAAACAGTCAACAAATGGTAGGGGTGGGACTTGAATCAGGAAGTTTTGATTCAAAGCTTGAGCTCTTCACTGTATACACACATATTACACTGCTTCCCTTGGAGGTGATGAGGCAAGAGCAATTAAATACTAAAAGCTACAGGAAGCCAATAAGCCAATTCGCTTAACAAACACCTGCAGAACAGATCTGTGTGGCAGCTCTGCAATAATCAAAGAGGAATCTTAAAGATAAAATTAATAAGATTTCCAGAGCAATGGACCTGAGGTTAATGACTACACTATATTATTACTATTCTTGCCCTCCAACAAGTCTACCTTCTGTTTCCTTTGTAATGTACAATAAAATTTGAGGGGAAGGTAGACAGTTGTATGTACGTATGCATCTATCAGTCTCTGAAGGTTGGGGAAGTTGTGTAAAGAAGGAAGCTAGAAATTCTGTCTAGATATCTAATAAATGAGAAATTCACTCAAATTAGAAGAGAAAGTAAATCCCAAAGTTCACAGCAGATTTTAGGTTAAATCTCAGGAAGAATTCTCTGATATCAGCGATTGCTGAACATAAGACCTAGCCAAATTTCCCCTAGCAAATTCTGTAACAAGCATAATCATTTCTAGTTTAGCTCTTTTACCTGAAGGAAAAAGATACACTGGCTTTGTGTGATCACTTGTACTCTCCTGAGTCACCTTCTCAGAGACATAAAATAGAAGCAGATGGCACCCACTGTCAGAACACTGAGCACATCAAGGGACTGACTAGTTTGATTTGGTAACAAAGTAAGATCACTTCTCAGTAAACCACTCCTCCCCGCTGTGTCTTCTGCCTCCAAAAGACCCCTCCGTTCAGCTGCTTTAATGTCTATTCCAAGGGATGAGAAGACAAGGCCACGCCTCCCAGAGAACTCTCCCGTGCTTCTGCTTACTCTCACTCTCCTCACCCTGACAGCCTCTTTCTTTCCATCTAGCAGCTTTGCTTGACCCAACTTCTGCCCGAGTCCATCTCATCACTTCACCAGGGCTCCTCTCAACTTCTGCA